AAGAAAGAAAGAAAGAAAGAAAGAAAGAAAGAAAGAAAGAAAGAAAGAAAAAGAAAGAAAGAAAGAAAGGAAGAAAGAAAGAAAGAAAGAAAGAAAGAAAGAGAAAGAAAAGGAGTCCCAAATGATGGGCCCTTTATTTGGACTGCCCATTCTATCAATGGAGACCTTCTGTGTTAGAAGATAAATCATTTTTCTGATTTAGGGTGAAGAGGATGTTTTGGCATAGATTGTTTTAGTATTTTGAAGGTTATGTGAATCTCTTGTCATATAAGTCTTCCTATATCATAACTGTGATAATAAATGGTAAAAATGAAGTCTAAATTTCCCTGTCCCTTTGGGAGCTGAGCACACATTACCTTTCCAGGCTTGTTTCTCACCTTACCTTTTCATGACACTTATGGTCTAGTCCAGTGATGGCGAACCTATGACACGCGAACTCATTTTTTTGGTTGATTTTTCTTTGTTAAATGGCATTCAAATATATAAAATAGATATTATCAAAAATATAAGTCTTTGTTTTACTATGGTTGCAAATATCAAAAAATTTCTATTTGTGACATGGCACCAGAGTTAAGTTAGGGTTTTTCCAAATGCCGAGCTCAAAAGCTTCTCCATCACTGGTCTAGTCAGTGCTTCTCAAGTCTGGATGTAAAATTGGCTTATGTGAGGAGTTTTGAAAATAATACTGATGTCCAAGCACCATGTGAGCAAATGAATTAGAATTGCTAATTTTCCAAAGCTCCCAAGGTGACTAACGTGTGCAGCCAGGTTAAGAACCACTGTCCTCGCCGAACAGAGTGACTTCCTGTACCTCTTCCTCTTCCCCTGACTGCCATGCCCCTCGCACTTCACACCTGAATAGGAAAAGAACCTACTCCAGTTTCTGAAATTCTTCCACCAGACTGGATTTCTGCCCAGGAGACATTCTTGCAAAGATGGTCCCATTCATCAGTATCTGCAAGGAACCCAAAAGAGAAATAGTTTTTATATCAGCTGGTCATACATGAAATAATTAATAACACTCATAACACTGACAGGGTAAAGAAAAAAAGAATTGTTTCTCAAGAAGTCTTCCTTTGGATTTTACTGTAGGCATTGGGACATAGGTCATCAGATAGGTGATCAGGAAGACCAAACTCAATAAAGATGACTACTTCATAAAAATACTTGGTGAACATGATGACCTATTTAGCTCAGCTGCCATAGAGAATGTGGTCCTAAAAAATCCTGATCTTATGGAACCTTAAGCCAATAGAACATGAGAAATTGTAAGGAACTCGGGAAAAGAAAATGAAGCAACTGCCTCTCAGGAATTTGTTCAGAATTAGCAGAAAAATAGCCTACTGATGAAATAGTAAAGTAACTATCTGTGGTTTTTGACTTACTGTATCATCTGGGCTTGATCGGTTGTAAAATTCAGCTGATATCCCAAGGCTAATTTGGACTATGGGACATTGATGGTTTGGTAGTATAAGAACCTCTACCAGCCCCTCCACCTGAGCTCCATTCTATAGAATCTATTTTATTTTATTGCTCCATTCTATAGAATCTAAATTTCTCTGTGTTAGATCTGCCTGCCCCCTGATCTCCCTGGCAGCAAACTCAGTTTAGTGTTTACTAAGCCTCAAAGTCTTTATTCTTTTTTTCTTAAGCAGTGCTTAAGATGGTGAGCAATTGAATACAAATAATCATCTGCCCCCACTACGGGTTTATTCTTCATCAGAAAAGTTGTTAAGTTTGACTCTTTTCTGTGTAGAGGTCCTCTATGAAAAATCTACCGAAATTCCTCTATTCAAGCCTGTCTTCTTGGATAATTGGAGAAGTTCCACTATATAGTGAGACTCCTAACCATGGCAACATAATGACAGCTACCCAAAAGCAATCCTGATGACTTGAGAAGTCACTAGTTTAATCCTATAAATTATTGATTTTCAACCTTTTTCATCTCATGGCACACATGGATGATAAGACAGAAACATAATTCAGCTGCCTCCTGCACGCCCCCTACTGGGGATTGTGTCCAGGCCTGTGCCCTGACAGAATTGAACTGGAGACTTCTTGGTGCATTGGACAATGCTCAATCAACTGAGCCACACTGGTCAGACAAGTTTACTTATTTTAAATCTAGGAGGATAAGAGACAACAGTAACCTCTGTAAAACTGTCTTCCTCTTTCATGAGACATTCAATAGGGATATCTCACCTATTTAGAGGTGTGAAATTACTGAGGATCATGCTCTGTAAATGACATTGTCAGCATCTTTACCAGGAAATTAGTACCCTCTGAGAACTGACCTTTGGCAGTAGGCTGCTGAAATGTTGACTTATAACCTGAAAGGATTTTCCACTTAGGGCAAAATGGTAACTTCCTTCTCTGGTATTTTCAGAGACTTCTTCCCTGATGTTAATGTAATTGTCCTGCAAAGCCAGACACAGTTATTTTACACTTGATAGAGTGGATAGGAGCATCTCTGAGAGAACACAACTATGGCAGTCCAGGGTCTCTCTGGAAAAGTCAAACTCCAGTCCTGATTCCTCAGAGAAGCACTTTCTCTTTGCTAGATCAATCTTTGCACATCACAGGCTCTATAGTAAATAGGAGAATAGCACTTACTCATGTCCTGTTCTCATCCTGATTTGATCTCGGTGAGTCCCAGAGAAGAGCACATTTCACACATTTCAAGTGTAAAATACAAAAGCACTATAGCTTAACAAATCTCTCCCTGAAGTGAGAACTTACAATTTTTTTTTCTTAAAGAATTAATATTCTTCCACAAGGACACAATAGAAATAGGAT